TGGTCGGGAGAGATACCTATCCCTGCGATAGTCTGAGAGACGCCTACAGTGGCCGTGATGCCGAAGATTTGCCAGAATAGATAGAATAGGATCCTTTTCTTGGGTATCTGCAACAGAGGTTCATCGGGCTGGACGAAGCGTGGCTCGCCGATGAGGTAGATTATTTTGGCCATGATACCGTTCCCTTCAAGGCCACCCCAGCCAACGACGAAGAAAACCCCAGCAAAGAGTGCTCGTGGTATCAGATTTAAGACGATCAAGATCGGTCCTGTCATTGTCCCAATGATGGCGAGACCCATGAGGAAATGCGACACGCGCTGCTCGACCACGCTTTCGGCAATGATTTCTTGCTGGTGGATCTCACCGCCGTCGTCCGTCTTGATGACTTTGAGTACGCTCTTGTAATTCGTCATGCAGTCGGTGTGCACGGGAGCCTGCGGTACAAGTCCGTTTGGTAAAGGAATGTCGATTATGCCAGCAATGAAGCTTGTACATCCGAGTAGGAAGAAGTCCCAATGGAAGCCACCTGGTTTCCTGAGTGGGAATTGCTTCGCTTGCGCTGCGACACTACTTTGGTTCTGTCGATTCTAGTCAGCGACCATGTTTGCACCCAATGCGATCCAATTACTGCGTACATGATCGTAATAGAAAAGAAGCATGAGCAGGAATCCAATTGGTAGAGCAACAAAGATCCACTTGACCTCCAGGTTCCAAAAATCGATAAGCCAGCCTCGATCGACGGTCGGATAGAAGGCTCGAGTATGTGGCAACTTGCTGACGTTGGTGGCTCTCAGCTGACCGGGAAAGTGAGCGAATCCTGTCCAGAAAATGGTGGCGATCTGTCAGGTATGGGTAAGCTAGCCAAAATCATGCATACTTCGAAGTGGGCTCACGGGATAGGCGTAGTCCCCTAGAAAACCACGAACCCACGGCCGGAACCACATGCCGTTGCCGACCATCTCAAGGGCGTAGACGGTGAAGAAGAACATTAATGCGATGGTTACGCTCATGAAGCCGTCCGTGGGGCCATCACTCTCGAACTCGGCGATGAGTAGTTCCACGCCCTTGACTACAGTTTTGATCAGCCTCACGCGAGGGAGCTGACACATCTCAAGACACACTGCAATATATAATCCCAACATACGCCCCGAATGACTGGCTTGAGAAATCGGTCACATAGCGCATGTAATCGCAGAAATTCCAGATCGCAAAAAGCCAATGGAAGATTGCCGCCCAGATGGCGACCCAGGTCATGAACTGTGGGTACAAAGCCACGTCGTATCGTTTTATTATATCAAAGATGGTATAATTGAATAAGGATATCAATCCAGTGATGCCGACGATGGTCAGGGGCTGAGCGCCTATGGTGCTGAAGACGATGCATGCTAATGCAGAGGAGAAGAGCGCTTCATTAACGCCGTAGAAGCCGCCGGTGCGGCGGTTCATGTCTAGGATGAATGCTAATGCTGGCAAAATACTGTGTATCAAACCAACATTAGGCTCGATCTTGCCTTGTCCGGAGGAGGGTGGACCACAAACTTTACAAAATATATTCGAACTGTACCAGCGAAGGTCCTATAGTTCATCGCGTCGGTGATATCACTCCAGTAGTATGGTAACCGCCGCTTGACATCGTGATACATACCCCAACCTGGCCGCAGCATTCGATATTGCCGCCACCCAATCGAGTTGTCGAAGGAGTAGGGGTCTGGTGTTTCAGTGGCCATCGTGGCGACATTGCAGTGATATCAACAAAAGTTTTGTAAAGCAGGCCGCCGATGCAGAATATATAGGGAAGAATGTAGATAGGCAGGTAAAGATTAATTTCCCCATTTGTTGAGGGAGCGAGATCTCGATGAGGTAGATCGAGGTCCTGGCATGACGTGATCCGGGTCTCCCTCTAGCGGCTTGGCATCCTGATCTGCCGTTTACCCGCGGCTTGGCGCGGGCTCGAATCTCAACAAGCAACGGATATAATTGTACTCTCTCACGAGGTCGCTCAGGGTTGAGACTGGCCTATCAGGGAAGCAGTGCTCCCATCATGAAGCTAGGATCATATTCTTACAACTTTGCTGCCTCCTAAATATCTAGCTTACCATCTGTATGGGGTAGATAGGCTTGCCAATTTCGTAGCAAAGATGGGGTGAATTTCGAAACCCGTCGGGTGAAGGAGATGGTAGGGACCACGGGAAAGTTCAGCACTGGACCGATTGATTCCCAGCATTTCATGATAGGAGGGTGATAGAAAGCTCGAGGTCCAGGCGAGCTTAGCGTTAGTATCAAAGGGGCCAGCTGGATTATTGTCGTACCAACGGCCTACTGCCATCGTTTCTTCCAATCACAACATACGTGCTACCCTTGCATCAAGAGACTGCTACTGCCGATAGGGGAGAGCTCCTTCAATTTCGCGTCGTGCTCTGATTATCTTGGCTGCGAATCAACGTCTTCAGAGAGACCCTAAACCATTCCCATTACTACGACTGCCTCTCGAAATTCGCCAGCAGATCTATGGCGAGGTGCTGAAAGGTACAAACCGCACGGTCGGCGTCAAGTCTTTCGATATCTTGGCCTTCAAGGAGGATTATCCGAACCGTGACATTGAAACTTTCTGTGGAGATCGAGCCTCACCACACTGGAAGAATCCGGTGTCAACATTCGAAAATGAAATGCCCAATATCTACGGTAAGGACACAACTACCGGCTCACTCCTCGTGAGTAAATTGATATACGCCGAGATTGTTCCAATACTCTACCAGTCGCAGTTATTTTGATTTCGGCATCAACGTCTTCGGCATTGTTCCCTTCTTGCGCAAGATGTCACCCTTAGCTCGAAAGAATGTCCTCGGCATCCACATGGAAATCTTTTTCCTTCCATCAGTCATGGTCAGCAGGACTACCATCCACCATCACTGGCACGTAAGGGATAACGCGCAGGATTGGGGAGAACTTGTGCGTACATCGCGAGCCATCTCCAGCTCAATAATCTCAGCATCAACGTCAGTATGAACTCGTGTAAGCCCGCCGATCCTCCTGTGGACCTTTCGGCGGCTACATTGGGTCAAAGATTCGGTGCCAATCGAGGGATCACGAAGATTGTCGCATCATGTCAGTCCTAATGGACACGGTCTAGAGGCTGTGTGGCGTCCCGGGGTTCTGGGCTTTCGTGAAGCATCCGAAAGACATAAGCCGGGACCGGATGACGTTGTCGATGGAGACGTGAAGGGGGCTAAGCGTGGTTTGGGAAGGCTGTTCGGGTATTTGAGAGGAGAGATGCTCGAGAAGTCCACCAGATCTGGTCCAGGTTTGGAAATCGGACTCGTTTTCGCCGGTGGGTCGGGGGGCGGAGCTGAGGTGGTGGTAGATGAAGGAGGAGGACGAGGAGAAGAAGAAGGTGAAGAGCTCCACGCACTTGCAGACCGCGTCACGCTGCTGGCAGGCGAATTTGCCGTTGCTGCTATTGTCGCGCTGATCGTCGCACTGAGCGGTTCCGCCTCACACGCATCGTCCGTCCGCCTGTCCCACCTCGTCACCGCTCGACGTCCCCCTTTTTTTTTTTTGGGTTTTTTTTTTTTTTTTAAAAAAAAAAAAAAAAAAAAAAAAACTTTTTTTAAAAGAAAACCCTAGGCCTCAGATTAGGTGCAAGGATTTCCACCGCCAAAAAATTGATTGTTTCATCTTCGATCGAGCATTGTACCTCAATTATCATTTTGCATGGGATGTCGGAGAGAGGGATAGATGTTGTGAAGATGTAAAATGGAGTACAAGGCATTCAGATCGGGCGGACTATGGTCGACATGAATGTATGTAGACCGCTGGCTCTAGAAGAATGTTGCGGTCGGGAAACATGGAAACACGCCAAGACTACCGCTACGGCATTTGAAGTCTCCATCCATCTAATGAACACCATAGTGGCCCCACCACGTTGTATCAGATTTTTTATATTCATCTCCATTTCGGGAACATTTCCATCGTTTTAGTAGGCTTTCAGGCTGAGACAGCTTGCCAACTCTGTAGACGCCATGTGAAGAGAGACCTAGCGTCTTTGGCGTAAACTCTTGTCCGTTCTGATGCTGTAATCGGTCGAATTTCTCTCGCATCTGCTCTCTGCTCGGCCTTGTTGTCCGCCTCGAGAACCCTATCGACGACAGCAAAAGCAACAATAAAAGCATTATCCTACTCAACCACTTCGAATTTAAAATCCATCACCGTCCCACATGGTCGACTGCACCCATTACTCGATTCCACCCTCTACTTTATTCTCTTAACGACGTTTCGATTAACGCCATAAAAGGGAACATCTCCTTCAAACGTCATGACGCTCAACAGGCCAGTGGTGTTTCACTAGGCTCGCTGGATTGATACGTCGGCTCCACTCGTCACCCCATGGACCTAACAAGCAGCCCTGGACCACTTATATTGCTCGGTAGTCTTGCCTCTCGTAGTTGCCAGCGCTCTAGTCTCCACTACATTGGGACTCTAAGAAATCCTGAGGAAGAGGATAAAAGCCTGAATTGGCCTGCCGAGCCAGTCAACCAAATCGTATTGGAGGGCCACTGCACGGCATCCGTCATTTCATCTCCTCTGTGTCTCTTCACCTCAAACTCTTCACCATCCTACTCTCATCGTCCAAAGATGCCCTGTTTCGTCGCTGATTGCGTGGCCGCTATACTTAATGCATGAGTGGAGGCGTGTTAATAATATCTGGATTGATGTGAGAATGTTTGGAGGGAATGACACTGCCTCGGAGAAGTGTCAAACAAGGGCGTTGCGTGGAGTTAAATGGTGAAAAGGACCTGTTCTATAAGACCCTCTATCCGTGCAAGTTGCGATGAATGCTTTACAGTATATCGAGGATTCATTGGCAGGTAAATGATCTTATCATTTTTTGATTTTATTAATGTTTTCCTCTAATATACAACCATGACTTTCTCGAATTTGCGCGAAGTTGCGCGAAATTTAAAGCTTATTGCTTCCTCGAAGCAAGAATCCGCTCTGGTTCCTTACGCTCGACCCTTCTCTTTTCGACTTATCTGTTTCCTGCGTAACTGAATCTGCCGAGCGTTCAGCTTTCTCGCCCTGGATTTTCGAGCAACATCCTGTTCTAGCTTTAAATCTTGCTTCATCAGCACAAGCTGCGCAAATACCGTGCCGTCTCCCGGATCGAAGCCAAGAGCTTTCTCCATGTGCTCTACCGCCTGCACTGTATCCCCCAGACGCTTGAGCGCAATGGCCTTGCAATAGTGGACCTTGAGGTAATCGAGCTTTTGGTCCTCCATCCAGTTGTGCGTGTTATCGCAGTACTTGTGGCAGCGGTACAAGCAGCGGCAGTGTATGACATCACAGTCCTCCTGACTGCATTCCAAAACAGAATCCGTCCACTCGTGAACCTCCTTGTACTGCTGGGACATCAGGTAACCGGCTGCGACACTTGCCTGAAGCTTAAATACAAGGGCATTGATGGCGTCCCTAATGTAGTAGTCTTCGAATGTCTTTGACCCGATCGTGAAGGATAATTCCAAGTTCTGATTCAGTACGGCAAGCTTGTCGAGAGCTTCTCGGTATTTCGAAGTCGCCAAATGGGAAATGCCGTTTCGGAGGAGTCGATCGCCCTTGCTCTTCCAGTTGCAGACTACTTGGATCTTTCCTGTGAATGAGAGTGTCAGTCTATTCTGTCTAACAACCGAGGGCTATTTCTCCATAGTTTTTCATACCTTCCGCCTTCTCAATCTGCTGCCGTTCTTGTGATTTCCTTGCCTCCTCTTGATTGGCTCGCCTGGTGACAAGCCTATCCGCGCGTTCTTGCCACGCTTCGTATACACATTTTTGCTCTTTGTTGAGGGGCACAAGACTGTCTGCTTCCCGAAGGTCTCCCACAGCCTCCCACACATCCCCATGCGTGTAGCTGATATGTGCAGCCACGTGAAGGACTTCGGCGTAAACGACGTCTTGCCAGGACGCGACTGTTAAATGGTACTGCTTGTTGTGTCGATGATCATAAGGGCGACGAGGATCCATAGCGCGCTCTGTGTATATCCGAGCCATTCTCAACATACCACTCTTCAAATACACCAAAGCAATGCGACCTAGTAGTCTGACTTTGAGGTTATGCTTTGCTTGTTCGGCTTTCATCTCAGGAAATGGCCCGTTTTTCATGACGAAGTCACGCTCGTCGTATCGCCAACAGCAGGAGCGCACGTTCATGAGAGCTGTCTTATACAAATCAATTGCTTGCAGGAGCCGGCCTTTGCTGACATGCTCGTCGGCTTCAGTGAGAGCCACCATGGCGATTCGAATGATGTCCAAAGCGGTGGGGGAGTCCTTGCAGACACTCATGATGATACTACCTTTGTAGCTACCGCTCAAAGGGCCTTCGACTTGGGCCCCTCCGAAGCTATGTAGCTGACGCAGTGGCTCAAGAAGCTTCCGCATTCGCGCCAAACCAGCTGGACTGCAGTCGATCTCCGTCTCCTGTCGATTCCAAATGGCAGGGTTAATCTCGATGTAGAACGCTGTGTCTCGAAGTGGGCTGTAGTGTCTCTTGGTCGACTTCAACAGAAGTCTACAGAATGTAGGCAGCTCGTCGCTACAGAAGATGTATTTCCAAGGTCGTTGGTCCTCAGCAGCGTCCGCACCGCCGGCAGTCTCGCACAAAGTAGGCCGACGATATGGCCAGCCGTTAAAATCAACAGGATCGAGTGTCAGCATCATCGAAATGTTCCAGAAGCCATCAGCTTTTGCATCTTTAGCTATCATTTGCAGCCCAAGCGCTTCGAGTTCGTTTCCAAGACGTGAGGGTCGCCGAGATGTCAAGCACACAAAGTTGTTTTCACGTCGACATAGATCGACAGACTCCTCGTGGATCCTACTATTTGTGCAAAGGATTGCAGTATAAAACATGTAAGTCTGATCGGGACCTTTCTGTAGAAGGCGTCGATTCCTGTCGAACTGTGAAGAAGCGAGTTCAGTATACGTTGAACGTTATCACGGTAGAAGACCAACCTCTCTGCTATTCACGTTGTGTTCCCTCTTCGTGTGTTCTGCTATCAGAAGAGGTCGATAAATCATTTCCCGAATCTCTGCGGGTAGTCTCATGAATGGTGAATCATCCTTGCTGCGGACGACTGTAGCCATAGCTCCGGAATCTGGGATATCCATTCTGTATTTGAGCTCTAGTACAAATGTTAGCCAGGCTTGAGGAGTTTAGACACTTTGGGGGATCGTAGATAAGCGATGCTAGAGCTGCGTTACTCTGCACGATAGAGCTCATATACGTTGTAGCACATCACTACTGACCTTGGTCGATGTGTGATTTCTCGATAGCAAGGGCACGATCTTGTCAGGTTCAAGCAGTGATGTGGTCGATTGTCTTTGAGTGTAATCAAGGTATGAGCTTGTGCAGGAAGAATCCTGTCCGAGATGCGAGGACAGAGGAAATATATATAAAAAGGAGGAGGCTTCTGAAACGCATCACGGCGCTTGAAAACCGCACTTCGCCGCTTCTGAACGTTCTTTTATGATAGATGTGTTAGAGAACTGCTGTGTTAAGCAAGCAGGATAGGATAACATTGCTCTAACATTATCGGTAGAGCTCGGTCTGTCGCTATGTGAGCGTCAGCTGTCGTCTCGAGTCCGTATAACACGAAAATCTGACTCAGAGACTTAATACAAAAATTTAACACAAAAATTTAATACAAAAATTTGACACAAAAATTTGACACAGAAATGTATTTATAGACAGCATGACCTAGATAGTGTTATAGGTCATGTTCGAGACAACTTTTTAGGTTTGCGTATGTATTTGTATAGATGGATGGTAAGAGAGAGGTAATAAGTGGGTCATGATCGCTCAATGTGGTACAAGGACTCTGTAATGAAATGAAGAAGAGACCATGGAGTGACAGCGCACTTATACTCGTGGTGCGATAAAGAACATCGTAGGTTTCATGTTTGCGTTTGTTGGATACGGGTGGGCTGGGAAGTTTGCTGCTATGAATCTCACCATTCGGCTATCCTATGACAATCTCCCATAAAAGGCAAAGTAAGGCGAAAGCAAACCGAGGAAGCTAGGGAATTGGACGGATGTAGCCGCCACGATTGAGAGAGCTTTTTGAGGGGTTAACATTGCCTTGCGCGATGTCTTCACTTTCGGGATGCAAACAGTAGTTGGCGATAGAAAGACCGGTTGGTGGCAAACAGGGTGTCAGGGAGTTCGGCGGACAACACCGGTCTTTCTTAGTAGCAACAAAAGCAGTGATAATCTGGTAGTCAATCAATCCTTCCATTGTGCCCTGCTCGGAGGTGCGAGTACTTTACCCCAAAGGGGAACGAGGGGTCAAAGCCGTTGACGCAACCGATGTCAGATACGCCCGAAGCCATGCGGGGTCAACTTCAACATTAGGCGAACCAGTAGAGTAGAGAGCAGCCCGACGCGGCATGGAGTCGTGAATGATCGTGGGCAAGGCGATCTTGGGAACGAAGAATCGCGTATGGCGTGGTGGTTGTGGGGATGCGGGTTAGTTCGAGAAGCTCTTGGCCTCTTTCTGCTTCCTCCATCTTGACCCACGGCTGGAGCTGGCGTAAGCAGGAGGAAGTCGGAGGTCAAATTTCGAAGACTCGATTTCGAGCTCGGGATGTTGACTACCCTTTCCACCCCTGTCATACAAGCAGGCCATGGGAATTTGATCCGAACATGATCCAACCTGGCTATTTGGCATGATTGAACAGTCTCGAGTGAATACAACATGCTCAAATCATCTTCAACAATGAGTCTTTTCCTTCGACAGTTGCATCTCATCACGCCTGGAGTATATCGGCCAACTCTCCGAAACCGCACTTCTCGTCTCCACTAGTGCCATCGATGAAGAAGTCAACCTCGTCTCGCACCTGATCTATATTCTCTGTGAAGTCTTCCGTCGTACGCTGTACATAAATAGTCTTCATTCCCCTGTTTAACCATTCAGACTTGGCAAAGGCAAACGATACCCAGAGGGGAGGAAAACCCACACAGTCTTAGCTGCCCTCAAGTCATATGCATGTGCAGCAACCATGATGGCTTCTGAAGGGGCCACTTGCATTAGTTCTAGCGCTTTGGTATAAATCTCGGCATCTGGCTGGGTGAAGGTTAACTAGGAGGTTGGCCTAGGAATCCATGATGACTCAACCGACTTTTGTCTTTCCTAGCAGTTGCGATGAGAAGAGCATGTGGAAGGGGAGATTTGAAGCCTTCATGAGATCGAGCTGCAAGCGCGTGGATCCATTTGCGAGTACAACGCTATACGTGGTAAATCAATGTGTTCCCAGGCTATGCAGTAGGGCCACCATACATGAAGTATTTCTGCTTCAATCTCTCAAGTGCAGATGCTACATCCGGCCACCCTTCACAGCGATACTGCTTCAGCCACGGTCCTTCTATTCTCATCTTGTGCTCGGTCAAGAACTACCTCTCTGCTCATGCCAGGCACCAACAAGCTTTTTCCTCACTCCATCATCCCATTGCGCAGGCGTCACTCCTCGAGCAAGTAGCAGCCAATTCAGCACCCGCCGATGCGTGACGTCGATATCCTCAACAAGCTGAGAGGCATCTCTGCGCGTTCGGGTCTCCTTGAAGAACCCAGCGCGCCAGTCGGCTGCCAGTTGAGGTAGTGACTCTGAAGGGAGGGCTGGGATCGAGGGAGCGCTCTCAAGAGCAGGGAGGATGGAGGAATACCAGTCAACGCAGGTGCCCATGAGGTCGAAGACGATGGCCTTGGGGACTGCTGGCGACGTGGATACTGCTGACATTTTAATGGAGGTATCAGTATGAGCGAGTAGAGAAGGAATCAATGATGTTTCTTGTGAGATCAGCGGCACGCTCACGTGACATGGTGGGGCAAGATTTCATGCGCTTTTTTTCCTCTCAAGCAATTCCTGTAATCTCATTGAGAATCGAAGTCAAATCACAGGTATGCAATGTCTTGGTAATACCTGGATATGCAGTTACTGCTATAATGAGACCTATCACTAGATATGGTAGTCTTAATAATATCTAAGAAAGAAGGATATCTATATATCCGATAAACGCCGACGCCGAGGCAACAAATTTAACCGAGATTCTTCCCCCACATTCAATAGCTTCCTTATATTAATTATTAAATAACTCTACTATTAATAGTTTAATATATCTTAAATTGCTATTCTATCTACTTCTAATAAGAATAAATTAAATTAAGCCTTAAAGTAGTAAAAAAAATCCACGAAAACTAGTAAGAGATAGATATTTCTTAAAAAACGTAATAATCTTCTTTAGCGTATTTTACTACTTTTAGAGTATTAATTAATAATAATTAAGTATTAAATAGCTATTAGTTATCTTTTAAGTAATTTATTTCTTATTTTATATACTATATTTAATCTTATATAAACTACTACTATCTAGAAAATACTTAAAGATAATATTAATTTATATATCTCTATTTAAAGTTCTCGTAATTCTTATTAATACTCTATAACTATATTAGAGTTAAAAATCTTTATTACTATTATAATCTATATAAGAATCTTTTACTTTTCTACTATTTATAACTATTAAAGAATTAATAGAATTATATTTATAATTTTAATTATTATAGAGAAAATAGCTCGAAATCGCTATATTCTTCTTCGAAAGTATATATATTATTTAAATCTCACTTAAGAGAATCTTATTATTATTAAAATAGATTAATAAAAGTAGTTAATATAGTATAAAAAACTTCTTTTATTTACTAGCGAGATTTAAAAGAATTAAGATCTTAGAATCTCGAGTTTTTATATAGCGATTAATAAATATATAGTTAAAAAGATAAAGCGTATATCTTATTCTACTATAACTCTAGATAAGCTAATTAAGAAGAGATATAAGCTCTTTATAATTAATAATAAGAGCTATATCTATAATTATATATAGTATTTCCCGATATAGAAATTAGAAGATAGGCTAAAAACTAAAGAATTTAGAGAAATATTAGCTATAATATTTAAATTAGCTATAAATATCCTCTTAAAGAATATTATTCTCTTTATAAATAACTATTTCACTTATTTGAAGCTGACTATAGCTTTAAGAGATAGAAGAATTACGATATATAAAACTATAAAGTCTACTCGACGAGATCTTTTAAAATTACTTATAGAGATAAAATAGATATTTACTAAAAATATTCTCTATAGAGTCCTTACTATAATAGTTTAAGATAATATTCTTATAATAGTTTAATAAGATAATAATCTTATTTTAAAACTTATTATTAAATATAGTGTTCGAGAAATTAATAATTATATCTTTAAAAAAAGAAAACGTTCTAGTAAAACTAATATAAATACTTATATTACTTTATCTACTTTTAAAAAGAATAAAAAGAATATTTAAAAGAAGGAATTTAAGATTTCTAAGCTTTTTTACTATTATAATAAGTATATAGAGAAGATAAATCGATTTAATACTCTAGTAACTATATATACTTCTTAGCGAGTCTATAATCGTAATTAAATATTTTTATTCTACTAACATTTAAATAAGAGTCTTATAAATACTTTTAAGCTCTATAAATTAATAGAAGTTACTTAAGAGTATTAGAAATTTCTCGAAAGTATAATAATAGAGTTATTAAAAGAAGGAGATATCTATCGAGTAAGGCTAAATCTCATCTCTATCTCTATACTATTAAAGATACTATAAGATAATTATAATTAATAAGACTTAAAGGCTATTCGGGCGTATCTTATATATCGTAAGAATATTTAAAATAGAGGTTTTAGACGAGAGATTAGTGGGAATAGAGATAATACTTCTAAGATACGCGGGGGATATAAAGTATATTAAGTCTTTTTTATATCGCAAAGAAAATTACGTAAGACGATTTTATAAAAGAAATAATATATTAAACTCTATATAATAGATCTAGACTATATTTATTAAATTATATGAATATAATAGGGTAGTAATCGAAATAATGGTGCGGAGAAAATAATTTATTGCCTCTCGGCGTTTAACGGATAGAGAATGCCTTCATATACTAATAACTAGGCCGAATGAGTACTAGTGGTAGCGAGTGTTGAGTTGTTTCAACACAGTGTCTTATCAATCGGAATCAAACGTATCATATGATTTTTCACCTCTCGAAGGATGTCGCATTCGATGTCAAAGCTCCATTCTTAACCTCGGTGTCCAAAAACAATGACCTGAACCTCCCCAGCGCCAGCCGCTGACAGACGACCAAAGCCTGAAACTCCCGCGCCCCACTATCCATCACAATGCTACACATAATCTTTAATGCTGTGCACGCCAGATCCAGGCTCATAGGATGTTGCGCAATGGATTCCATCTTGAACCTGAGGTCGTACCTGGTGACATCGAATGCTTCAGGGACGCTGCCTTTTGGTTGCCCTTGGAGCTTGAAGATCTGTTCAAGGACTTCGAGGATAAAAAATTGGGTTTGAGCGTCGGTGCCTAGCTTGGCGCCGACTTTTGGGAAGGAGAGGAAACAGTGGTCGTGGGGGTCATCGGTTTCAATGGAGACTGCGAAAGGCTCGTCTGGCCATCCTCCTTCCCACTTAGGTCTGAAGACCACGTGTCATTGAGTGGTAATTTGGAGGTCCATTAGGTACGTACCCGCTTGTGCTATTGAAATTGGTCATACTTGGCGGTAGTACCAGGGACTGTGGAGAGTCGATTGAGGACAGAGGCGACGCAATGCTCTCGTGAAATAGACCAAGGTAAAGGAACAAATAGATGAGTCCAAGATGGACTGTATGTGCTTGAGCGTGTACCTGCATGATTATGCAATGCAGGTTCAAAGATTGGAAAGGTGGGATTAAGTACAAGAAGATCTTTTCGGTGTCTCCTTAGACCATTCTTGTCGTCTATCGCCTAAGAACGTGAACCGACAGCGTGATCGATCAATCTCCGCGGTCTTCCATCCATGCAGCAAGCCAGACATGCATTAAAAACATTTTTCTTCAGCAATGGAAACACTTTCAAAGCGTTGTGGGGTTCCCTAACGTATCAATCAGGTTGCTCAAGTTGCGCCATGGGCATCTCAGAGACTAAGACTCCTTCGCAGTACAGAGACATTGAGCATAGTAAAAATACAAAATGGGAAATCACGCTCCCTTTACTTGTCGTTGACACCCAGGGAGCTGGAGCTTCGGCTCAATCGCTCCCGGGGGCAGCACGGATTGCTATTAGCTGAAGGAGACAAAGACGGCGCGGACCAGTACGGGAGTTGAAATCCCAGAAATTTCTTTGGACTGAGAACAAAGAACCAGGTAAAACGATATACGAGTTGAAGCATCGATAAATAGTCTAGCTTTGAGGGAAATAGAATCATTAACAACGCAATGAGTTTTTCGAACGCTGCTAGCGTCTCGAACTCTCGCGAATGATCTCGGGACTGCCCGGATAGCGCACCCAGGACTATGAGCGGGCCGGCTCTGGTGTCCTCGAATCGTGACCTGTCATGACGTAAGAACAGGAACGGGAGACTTCAAATACTCTACAAACGTCTTAACACCTCATCCAGTTTATACCAATCAGCCTACCGTTGGCCACCTCTTTTCCTCTCATTAGGCATCATGTCTACCAGCAATCTCAAACCCCTCATCCTACACGGTCCGCCCCTCTCTCTTGCGCTCCATCTACTCACTCTAATAAAATCCTATTCTAGCCCACAACACCGGTCCTAACCCATACAAGGTAGCCATAGTGCTCTCCGCTCTCAAAGTACCTTACACAGTCAAGTTATGGGAGTTCGGCGACGCACCAAACGGCGTCAAAGGCCCAAACTTTCTGAAGATCAACGAGAATGGCCGCGTGCCGGCCCTTGAGGATCCAAATACCGGTGTGGTGTCTTGGGAAAGCGGTGCGGTCATCCATTACCTCCTGCGTGTCTACGACAAATCCAACAAACTGGGCCCGAGTGGTAAAAGTCCCGGCAGCGAACCGACCAATCAAGATCACGTCGACTTTAACAAATGGGAATTCTTTCTTGTCAGCAGCCTTGGACCTATGATGGGGCAGGTGAACTGGTACCGCCATTACAACCCTACCAAAAACGAAGATGCACTATCACGGTACGAAGCACAAACGTACAGGACGTTTGACGTGTTGGAGGGACAGCTACGGAAAAGTGGCGGGGAGAGCGTTTTGCCGGGTGGTTTCAACGCTGTGGATGCGCACTTCTATCCCTGGGTCAACCAGTACACGTATGCGGAGTTGAAGCTGGATAAGTACCCTAAGATTCAAAAGTGGTTGGAGGTGATTGGGAAGATACCGGCGGTACTGGAGGCGTATGAGAGAGTGCCGAACGGCGAGAAGGCTTAGATGGGAGACTTTCAGCGGTATGTAGAGCTCATTGGTCGATCTTCAATTTGACGACTGATGGATGGTGAAGCGATTGAGATACTTCAGAAGAAGCAGATTGAATTGCAAAAGCACGGAGGTCATCTAGTAAAGCTGCAAGTGTGGGTAGAAATAATGTACAGAAGAACAGACGCCCAGCCTGAAGCCTCTTTGAACAATTCTAATATCATCTGCATGTGCGCATGTGAATTGACCACATAATACTTGATCAAGCAACCATCGTCATCGCATCTCCCGGAGAAATCCCTTCATTCAATCCGTTTGAAGCTGATATAACGTTCCTTTTCCTCTGTTTGTCTCCCATGGATAGCTTGTGCTCCTCACTTCCATATCGATTGAAACTTGACCGCCGCTGTGATCAGTGCGACGCCAAGAGCTCATACTGGGGATTGATAGAGCTATTCTCTGGTAGCAGAGGCAGTAGATCAGCTAACGCAACGCCTTTCGCTCGATCTGTTTTGCCCTTCAGGCAATCATCGTGGAGGGTTAGCTCATAGGTGGGGCCTCGGACTCCGAACTCATTCATCGGTCGCTCCACGCCAGATACCTTTACAAGATCAACCTCAAGGATATCCAGAAAATGGTGATTTTGGGAAAATTGTTCAAAATCCCCTGCTTTCCCGGAGTTGCTAGGCCCGAAATCGTAGCGTGCCACAATCGTGTCCTCATCGGGGATGAATGCCTCGCAATACTCGTAACTAATCCACTCCATAATTTCTCTCGTTCGAAAGTAGTCCAGTAGGTGCATAGATGCCAGGATCTCATACCGAAGCTTCGACTTGCTTTTCCCTGATAGGTATACCGTACTCATGGCCCGATAGTAAGCCTTTAGGAAGCGAATGCGACTGAAAGGCTCAAGAGTACGGTTGCCACGTTGGTCTCTGAGGATCCCGGTACAAGCGCAGAGCCATAGTTCCCTCTTCCGTTGGGCAAAAATTCCGGCCTCGAAGTATGATAGGGCGAGACACGCGTAATCAGCGTTAGACAAGAGTACCTTTGCGCGTATGATAGCTGCTTTGGCTTTGTCCTCAACTGACGACTGACGATCGACTAGGCTTGACTTTGCTCTGGCATCGAGGAGCTGACGTGCTTGATCGTAACATTCGATCGTCCGAGGAAGTACCGCATCACATATCGAGGCAAGATGGTAACGCCATATTGTATGTAAGTGGTGAGACGTATGGCTCAAAGCGGCGGCTGAACTAATATTGTCGACAGATTCGAAGACGCGAACGATGAGTTCATTTGATAGGTCTGACAGTGACATCTTTGTTGTAACTGATGGGTGGAGGGAGTGTGGTTGATAGAACTTATATAATATTAGTGATATCTGTTGAGCTTACTAGACTTCAGCGGTGTTGTGAACAATGAAGTGTGAATGTGCCTCGACGTCCAAGGAAATGGGTAGCTGATGCCAGCGACTGTGTTGAGACACTTTTGTGTTGACAAGATCTAGTGCCTTCCATTCAGCCTTCCGCCTGATGCCTGCTCCTTTGTTCCTCAGTCAATCACTCCCGCCAGTACTGCCAGTTTCCAGCCTCGCCCACCGTCTTATTTCTCTGTAGTAACAAGAACGATCACAGCCTGTGCCAACCAACCGATCAACTTCCTTCTGCCAATGCTGTTGTAAAAAGATTTTGCACATAGTATCAGACCAAATAGCATATTTTCCTACCCATGCAGAATTAACGCGCCTTAACGCATTAATTAGTCCGTAGAATGGCGGCACAGTTCCTCAGCCAGCTGCAAACTGTCAGCAGTGGAAATCTACCCAACGGCGCAGAATGCATGATCTGCTGGGAAGAGTACGGTACTGTTTCTTCAGATAGCGGCGTTATCGAGCATGCAGTTTTCCTACCATGTCTTCATCACGTTGGTTCCGAATGCATCGCTGTGTGGCTTTCGCCTGATGGTGGGCAGGGGAACTCTTGTCCCATGTGCAGGACTGTCTTCTTCCCTGCACAAACCAGGTATGACGATGGCGATGACGAGAATGATGATGAAGAGGACGAGGACGACCACGTCGATGGATACAGTGACTCTGATGAAGACGGGAGTGAAGATGAGGATGAGGATGAGGACGGGGATGGGCCTGATGAGGCTGATGAGGCAGACCTACGGGAACAATAGATCTCGGATGCGCTCCAGAGGATCGCGTCTTCCGTGGAGATCACCAGAGATGAAGGGCTACAGGGCCTGCAAGCGCAAGAATGGTACGGACGTTGGTCAACTCCAACAAACCAAAAGATTGAGGATAGCCGAAAGCATGCAAGACATTCTCTGCTAAGACCACCACCGAAAGGCTACAGCGGCGGAGAACACGAACAGCGGCCACACCGGTTCCATTAAGTACCAGCCGATTTGGAATCCAAGACTGAGAAGCTAGCGTCGGCATATCGTTCTCTAGAATTTAGAGAGACGCTATTGTACTTGACTTTGTGGGAGGCTGGCGTTCGGCTTCCACCATTGCTTACCCCTCATAATGGCCTACACCACGACCCTAGGGCGGCTCTTCTTTGGGAACTTGGTCAAAGGGGCACTTTCAGTGCCACTCAGGCGCTACCGGTGTATCTGGGAATGTCAGACCGCCAGTCCTGGTATGTACATCGGCTGAAAGGGGAGGTTTCCAACTGTGAAAACTTGTCTGCAAATCCTCGTGGATATTGGTTGACGGGACTTGACTACAATGCATTAAAGCAGAAAAGAGTCTCGCATATCCAACGTAACAAACGAAGAAATGAAAGCAACATTAGATAGAAAGTTCGCAAGTCTAGACCCCATAATATCTGCCGAGACGTTCAGGTTTCGCTTACTGTAAGCACGGCTTTCCCAGCAGCTTCTTGGGGGGGGGGGGGCAAATTACCGAATCATACCCCCAACGTAGGAATCCTTACCGATTCATACCCCTGCACCAAATCACACCAAAAAATGGGGTATGATTCAGTAATTTGTCATTGCTTGGGGTATAATCTGACGAGGGTCTTGAATGATAGCTTTCTGGTATGAGACGGTTTGATGAAGGTGGCGGTAGTGGTAGGCTTACTGAGCGTCCGGTAGTGGTCTTTGACTCCATTATTGATGACGGTGGTATGGTGCGTTATGGTGATGGTCGGGTTTGGCCTTCGAGGAGTCGAAATCTCGCCCACTCGGCTTTCGTCTAATGTTTTTAGGCTGATAGATTTCAAATGCGGTCGGAGAAACTCCCTTACTTCTATGATCGAGTAGGCCAGCGGATTATCTCCTTCGTAGTTTGAGGCCACTTTGATAACTTACATATTAATACCCCATATTTGGGTGAAATTTGGTGTAGGGGTATGATTCAGTAATTAGGGGTATGACTCGGTAAGGATCCATTACTTTTGGGGTATGAATTAGTAATTCGCCCTTTTTGGGGGCAACAGTCAAATCGCGAAGAATCCCGACATCACGCTCAACATTGGTCTCCAGTCGCAAAGCTAAACGCAAGGCAATAAGCCTCCGCAAAAGATACTTCGTTTCATATCGGTCGAAGTCACGGAGGTAGAGACTGGATTTTTTTCTCGAAAGGCTAAGCCCCAGATATCGTTGCGCTAGTGCTTATT